AGATAACAAATAGTAAAAAATATGATGATATGAAGGCTGATTATTTTGGTACAGATACATATGATAAAATTCCATACTTTACTTTAAAGAACAAAAGGATTGAACTTTTTGAAAAGGTTCTCGAAATATATGAAATAGGAGATTTTAATGATAATAATGATCAATATGAAATTGAAGATTATTTTTCTTATCATAAAGAAATTGAATCTTATGATCTTCTAATATTCAATATTAAATATAAAAAAATGAAGACGCTTGCTGAAGATTTCAAAAAATTATTTAATTTAATAGTTAAAGAGGTTTATAATAGATCTTTGAAGGAAAATGATATAGAGATAGAGTTTTATTCATTTCAAAATAAGGTTTTTGATAAACAAAATATATTAAATACATTAGATAGGTTTAAATACAATGGTTATAGATATTTTATTTTAATTACATTTTATGATTTTATAATGGAGAAAGATTTTACAAATAGGTTTGGAGAGTACCTTATATCTTACGATAATGAGTCAAAGGCTAATACAATTATTATTAAATTTAAATATAATATTCTATTCTTGTCTATATCTACAATTTATAAAAATTTCAAGTAATAATTAATTTCAACGAAACATTTTATTAAATAAATATTATATTATTGGATTAATTTTAACAGTGTTTCATAAAAAAATATTTATGTTTATAAATATAAATGATTGATTCTATAAAGTATATTAATAAAAATAATAATTCATAATTATAATCTATGATCTCGAAAACATAGTGTTGATATACAAATAACAAATGAACTAAATATTAAACGAGTAAAAAATAAACATAATAAAAAAATATTTTTATGTAACGAGTTACTTGAAAATATTCTTTACTTCCTTCCACTTGAATCAAAATACAAGATAATGTATTTGAATGGTGGAGGGTTAGATGTATTCAAAGCATTTGTAAATAAGAGAATTTATGTAGATTCGTATAAATACTTATTTGTATCTAATTTGGTGATATATGCAATGTAAAGTTTTTAGATAATCGCGTAAAATTTACCTTGAATAGAAAGGTACCTGTGACTTTTTATAATAGGATTAGGGTTAATCAGAAATCTCTAATACTTTATATATGCATTCACACTAGTATTATTGCTAGACATGAATTTTTCTAAGTATAGTCATAACAAGAATGGACAGAAGCAAATTAAAAAACTACAAGAATATCAAAGTTGACAGTATGTTGGAGAGACTCAAGTATATTATAAATAAATATTCAAAAAGGTAAGCAAAAATTTATTATTTGTTTTAAAATTCGTTATATAATACAATACTAATAAGATACAATATTATCATCTAAAAATACATGATCTCTATACGTTTTGTTTCAATTTATGTATAGTGAGTAATTGATTTATTTATTTATCAAATGAATCGAATGTTTCAGAGTATGTATAAAGGTTATGAAAATATCTCTTGGTCTAATCTTTATAGAACATAAGAGAAAAAGACATGATATATTCAAGTATTCAAATAAAAAACTCAATCTATTAGTATCTGGTCATGTATCTGTTGGTGATGACAAAGATATACAACTATTCTGGAATAAATATATACAACAGTTATCAAGAAAGTTATAGCTACTAAGACAGTTATGTTTAAATAACAAAGAGTTAAACTTTTAGTTCTCGATAAGAACTTTTAGTCAAAAAATTTTAAGACAAAGTATCTATTATACGTCATCTCAATTTTCATAGTCAATACAAGACAAGGGATTAAAGACTCATAAGATTCGTATATATCCCAATTACTAGAAAAAACAAATATTGTTAAAATGGATAAGTACATATCAATAGACATACAACTGATACTTAGAACTGGTAAAACAGAGATTCTCCTTGTCAAGAGATAATCTGAGAATAAAAGTGTTGAACAATGATAATTATCAACATACAAACACTTGGGTCAAAAATATGTCTAGTGCGATCTGACTTCGAGCGATGATGGAACTAAGAACTGCATACAAGACAAACTTTGCAAAATAGAAAATGAACAAGAATTTTAAGTTTGAAATAAAAAAGAAATCAAAGAAATACATGTCTCAGACTATCACTATTGAAAAGATAAATTTTAACAAAGAAATAGGTGAATTTGCATTTCTCAAACACATCAAGACATCTGAAGTACTACTGGAGATAAACAACACAGTTAATATAATGAGAGATAGACTTAGTAGATTTTACATATGCGTCTGTGTACTGATAAAAGAATATTATCACGAAGATAATGAATTTGTCTCTATCAATCTGAGTGTTTAAACTTTTATGACTTGTTACAATCCCAGTAGAAAGATTATCGAGTATAGTAAAGGAGATATTTCACAAATTTATCGATTATACAAGAAATATGACAAGTATCAGAATAAGAGATCTAAGCTAGATAGTAGCCTCAACAAACTAAACGATATTCTCTGAGAAGAAAGATGTTGAGAATACATTACAAGATTAAGAATCTGATTAAAGATTGCCATTATAAGATAGCTAAGGACTTGTGTGAGAACTACAACACCATTCTGTTACTAAGATTTGAGACTAAAAATATAGTCAAAAAGAAAGATAAAAGACTCGAAAACCAAGAGTCTGAATCTATCAAAGCTTTCAAGAAAACCCTCAAGAGAAAGATCAATAGCAATACCACGAGAATGATGTTGATATAGTCACATTACAGTTTCTAACAATATCTTATTCACAAGATACGAGAGTATTCTGGTTATTTGTTAGTACTATGTGATGAACATTATACAAGCAAGACCTGTAGTAACTATGGATATATCAAGAATAATCTGAGAAATGCAAAGGTTTACAGATGTAACATGTGTGGTTTTAAGATCGACAGAGATCTCAATGGTACAAGAAATATACTCTTAAAACATTTGAGCTAAGGCAACTTGGCGCTGAGGCCTACCTCATTCAAATAAGTACTAACTTTTTTTGTTTTATAACTGTGATATGATTTATTACAAATGATCAGTTTTTTTTGTAGAAGAGCATGTAAATATAGAAAACCTTCGATGCCAATAAATATGTTAAAGAACATAGTTAGTAAATATTTGGCTGGTAAGAAACCAATATCATTAATTAAATGTACATATTGTAACAAGTTTCAAAAGATTAGTATGTTTGATTTAAAAAGGTTATTGAGTAATCGAGTAAAATATGTTTGATCAACATGTAAAAAAAGTTTATAAATAAAATCATTTTAGTTTTATATTAGTTAATAATTATAATGATACCTGAAAAATTAAAGGAAATATACAATAAACATAAAGAAACTTATTCTAATAATAAAAATGTATTAGATATAGGGCAGGGGGCACAGAAAAATTTTTGAGCATGCCCTATAGGCATGCCCCCCTTGAATAACTTTTCATCACATGATACGTAGCAAGACTAAAATATGTGACAGGTTATAGTCTTAATTCAAGCTAATTAATTGACATTGGCTTGCATTAAGCAAATTTTGAAATTAGAGTTAGGTTTAGGCCGAGTTGAGAAATCATATGGGTGAAAATCTCCAATTTCGTGATGATTTAACATGAGTAATTGGCAGGGTTGTAAACAGTAAGTTAACATCAGTAAATTACAGGTAAGTTACCGAATTACTGTGGTGTTAAGAAAATTTTTAAGATATAGTTTGGCTAGCATTAATACTAAAAGGTAGACTATGAATGAATATATAAAATGAGAGTAAACTACTGGTTTAGCCAACTAAAATTTTTTATTCTTTATAGTAACCTATCTGATAATTTACTAACATTTAGAGTAACTTACCAAGAAATTTATAAATTACAATAATTTTACAACTCTGGTAATTGGGTTAAATAAAGTTTGAGCCAATAATTTGTGATATAAAAATCAACTTTTTTTCTTTGTCACTTTTTGCTTTAATTCATTCTACTATTTCCGATTTGCGTAGTGAAGTGGAAAACCTGATTTTTTGATTAGAAAATTTAAGTTCGGCTTATATAAATTTGTATCTGATTGTAACCTGATTATTTATAAATTTATATATGTATGTATTCAATTTGTGACCTAATTACTTATAAATTTTATATCAATATATGTACTTAATTACAAATTTCTGTTCATATATACACCTGATTACTTAAAATTTTATTTTATTATTAGAGCACAAAAAACGGTTTCATAAGTGAAATTTTGAAGTAGTCTTGCTGATACATACTAGAGTAATACATGCCAATTAGATTTTTAAAATTTTTTTTTTCAAGATGACCTTGGGCTTTTATTAGGGATTTTAAATTTTTGAATGATAAAATTATTTTTAGATCTGTTAGGAAAGTTAATTTCATATTCAACTTCATGTTCAACTTTATTTATTCAATGGTTTAGTCAATTAATATAATCTTTATTTTTTAAAAACGAATATCTTATATGAATTTTACATAGATAATAATTTGATATAAATCAAACAAAACTAATACAATTTTAAATTATATATCAAGAATATCGTTAATGGACCATTCTTCTTCTACCAGCTGGTCATTTCTTTCTGCACCAATCTGGGGTAAAAAATCAGTAAGAGCTTCTTGATCTCCTTCAAACGCTGCAATATCGAAGAATTCTTCTATAATAGAAATTTCTTCTTGCGCTATTACCACTTCTAGTTCTTTATTCACATCAATCTGTTCGCCTTCCTTTTGTTCATCGTCAAAAAAAATGTCAACATTGTCATCATCCTGAATTGAAGATTCAGAAAGAGCTTTAGGCTTTCTGTTCTTAGTGGGTATAGCTTTTTTTAGTTCAGTTCGAAGCTGTCCAAGGATAGAAAGACTGTCGGGGTTAATCTATTTCTCGCTTTTGATTTGACTATTCCAAGTAATGAAAAAATCATTCACAGACAGCTCCATGAGGGACAATAGCGAGAACCTTCATTGCAAAATGGCATAAGAGTGGTGCATTTCCAGTAAATTCTGTTCAAAATATTTGTGGTGATTGTGAAGAAATGAAGGAAGACATATTATCAAAAGGGGGATTATTGTTTTTATAATTAATTAATTCGTTACATAGAAGTCCTGCATCTCTTTTGTTAAAATTCCAGATTCTAGCTAGTTCAAGCGAAGCACGAATAATATTCTCTCCATCCATTTATCTTGATATAGCTACTTGTTTATGTGCTGGAGAAAGGAAAAGTGCAACAAAAAAATTGTCACTATCAAATTCTCTCACATGTTTGATAATAACTGTAAGTGTGTAGACTTTAAAGCCAACGATTGGAATCTCAAGCTGAGTTATTTGCTGGTGAATATTAATAAGTTCTTTAAAAATATCAGCTAAAGTTGAATTGCTTGATTCCAACCTTCCAATAGCATCAACAACTGGTTTGATTACTTTTGTTATAATATCATTATCAGCAAAATAATACCTATTACGAATGATATTTTTAACTGTAGTATTCTCAATTTCAGGATACATAGGGTGTTCAGTTTCACTCAACAAGAGACAATGTCGAAAGCCTTCTTCGTAGGCTGATACACCCATACAAACTTTGCGAGCAAATACTATCTGGTTTTGCAGAATGTACTTAAAAAATGCTGAATATTATGCTCTTTTTGCCAAATTTGTAGTGCTCGACGCCAGATATGTAATGCATTAAAAAAGTTAACAATTTTTTGGTTTTTTTTACAAATGGTAATAGTATCAGAAAAGCTAATAATGTCTTTAATAATTAGATTAAAAACATGCAAGCAACAATGAATAAAGACTATATTAGAATGTTCTTCATTAAGCAATATTCTCATTTTGCCCATGTTCGAAGGGTTATTAGTAACACAGGCAATTGCAGATAACATTTTGATGCCATTTGCATTTTAGACCTCTTGCACTTTATTTTTAATAAAACCTACAGTATTGCAATGTGCAGATAAATCAAGAATATCAAGCACAATTTCTTGACATTCTTTAAGGGCTATAAATCCGAATATCAAATTTCTAGAGATATCAGTTCATCTGTTGAGAAAGATAGTAAAGTCAGTAAAAGATGAAAGTATACTAAGCTTTTCTTGAACATGGTTAGAAAACATTTTAGTTAAAAGATGTCCTTTAACCATATCATGAGAAGGAAGATGATAAGAAGGATTTAATTCTTGAAGAAAATCTTGCAAGTATGGATTTACAACAAAGTGAAAAGTAAGATTTCCGTGGATAATAATCTTTAGGAATTCTTGATGAAAATACTCTGATTGTGCCTGGGACAGAGGTCAGGTACACCTGCTAAGTATAGTTTCTTAGTGGGGCTTAGGTGTAAAAGACCATTGTGCGATATCATCATTTGCTTGTTCATTTGTTTGCTCAATAGATGTGTTATCATCATCACGAGTGCGTTTATGGAGTGCATGAGTTTCTTCACTAATTTTTTAAATATAAGAAGTTTTTTCATAAACAGGCCAATCATTGCACTGAAGAACGTGTTGATGAAGTCTATCAGGCTTGCCACTTAGCTCAACCAAACAATGCTTGTATTTCGCAGTATATCTATTTCCAGCTTCAGTTCTTTTTATTACAGAACGATAAAAACTATTCCAGGATAACCTTGTGTTGGGAGTGGCAAAGCAAAACTAGTAGGAATATTCATGATATAATGATTTTCTTAAAGAAGTAGAGACTTAATTCGAATTTAAAATTGTTAATAGGATGGATGATTTAATTATGATAATAATAATTTGTAGTTATTTATGTGTGATAAATTTAATATGATGTAAATTAAAAAAAAAGTTTTTAATACATGAAAACGATTTAAATTTTTTTATTTAGTAGACAAGTTGAATTGTAAAGTTTATTCAAAGTTAAAAAGTACAGTTTAAATACATTTTACAATGATCTAAATTCTATATATTATGATTCCTTTTTTTTTATAACCATTTTCGATATTTCAAACTTATGCTTAATCATGCAATTATTTTTCATGCAGACCTGCTTGGCTTTGGCTGCATAATTTCTTTTTACAACCTACTTACAATATCATATAATTATGTTTTTTGCCCTAGTCACTTCACTTGGCTTTGGCCGCATAATCCCTTTTCTTTGCAGCCTATTCATAATATCTTATATACTTTTCTAACTTGACCCATGTCAATCTAGTGGCTTTGATCGCATAATCCCTTTTCTTTACAACCTATTCACAATATCTAATATACTTTTCTAGCTTATAATTGTGTCTTCCGCATCAATTCAGTTGGCTTTGACTACAAAATTCCCTTTAAAATCTCTAATGCATTTTTCTAAGCCTATTTCAAATTCTAGTCATGCGATTATATTCTTGTATTAACCTGTTGGCTTAGACTATACAATCCAAATTAGGAATAAATTCAAAATGTATGATTAATTTAGTGAAGGTTTAGATTAACTAATTTTAGAATCATATATTGTTAGTCTATTCTTTTAAAGATTTTCTCTGCGACCTTCATCCAATAGTGGCTATGTACTAAATAATAAACTATAAGAGATAAAGAACATACAAAATAACAATAAAAAAAAACCTGTTGTAAGAAATGTTAAATCTGGATTTAATAATTAAATCTGGATTTAATGATTAACATTAAATCTGGATTTAATAATTAAATCCGAATTAATGATTAAAGATTTATTACAGCTATTTTCATTATTCCTGGAATACCTGATTAAAAATTAGCTGAGTGATTAACTATCTGATTCGATAAGGCTTTGATTTCAGTATAATTATTATATATTGATATATTATAAAGATACAAACATTAGAAGGTCTAAGATTGTTAACTCTTTATGTCTACAGTATAAATTTTAGGTAGTGACGTAATACGTTATTGCTTTTTGTTAACAATAATAATGTCTGCAAACCTTAATAATAGATAATAAGGATTATTATTATTAAGTCTATCGATATTTTATTTATCTTTAATGCTATTATAATCTCTGTTAAATATGAACTTTCTTTGGAAAAAAAAACTTGAAAAGGCGAGTTACATTATTTTAAACAAGTCAATAAATTTTTGATCAAATCGAACTTTTTTTATCACTTATTTGTGCAATGTATTTAATATAAAAGTCTATCTTTTACTATATTTGTTTTTTTTTTTATTGTCAATTGGTTGATAAAGAACAGTTCTTTGCCATAGGTTTTCTTTAAACTAAACACACAAAACATACTAGACAGGCATTCAAGTTTTTGTATTGATTAACTTATTTACAATTTTCTCTTCGAAATACAGTACAATTATATCTATTTACTGTATATACTAATAATTAATGATATCAATAATGCTGAAATCAAAACTTTATCGAATCAGATACTAATCACTCAGCTAATTTTTAATTAGATATCCCAAGAATAATGAAAATAGCTGTAATTATATTCGGATTTATTTTGTTAGTCTTTACCATAAATTTTTGTACAAACTAAACATGTTATATATATTAGATAAGGTGAAAATTTAATAAAGGTGTTAAAAGAGTTGACATTACGAGTTTAATATAATATTGATCAAACAATATAAAATTTTTATATGCAAATCACATGATCGATTTTGGCCGAGTAGACTTCAGCAAACTTTTTTAGAGTAGCCCAGAAATTATAAAACAGCTGTAATCCAGAATGTATATCACATGGGAGCATAAGAAAATTTTTAGGCATGCTCCTAGGGGCATGCCCTTACAGGAGGCATGCCTTTTAGTTTAAAGGCATGCCCAGGGGCATGCCCAAGGGGGGCATGCCCATAGACTCTGTGCCCTCTACTCTAATTAGATATATTTAAAAGTATTATTAGAAGTTTAAAATATAAATCTATTGAAGATAATTCAAATTTTAAAAGACATTATTTAAATATTGCTCATGATTATCAGAAACATCTTGATATTAAAAGAGAAACTAAAGAAGCAATTGATGCAATAAGATTAGAAGCTTTAAGATTTTCTTTAGTAGTTTTAGTAAATGATGAAGGTAAAATTTGAATCAGTAAAAGAAACAATGAGAGTAAAAATATGCATAGATATTACCAAGTTCTTAGTAGAAGTGTTAATGATGACGAATCTTATGAAAAATGTACTTCTAGAGAAGTTTTTGAAGAAACCAATATAGTGATCAATAACTCTAAATACATATGTAATTACGAGGAATTTGAGAATTTTCCTGTAGAGAAAACTTAAATGTTTATTTGCAAGATTTATTATTCCTTTATAGGACATCATAAACTAGAACATAAGGAGCCCGAGAATAATGATAATTGATTTTGGATTGATATAAAAGATTTATATGCTTACAATTCATTAATTGACTCATTAGAAAATAAAAAGGAACAAGTAATAAAAGTGATTACTAACAAGTTTGAGAAATACAAAAAGAAAAAAGATCTTAACCTTATTTATTTAATATTATTCTATTTTATTTTGTTTCAATTATTATATCTCATTTGAAGAATTTATATTGTTTAAATAAAGTATAAATAATCTTTATTCTAATTAACTTAAATATAAAGATTTATATTAATCTATTTTGTTTTACAGATAAAATAGAAATTGATTATGAAGTTTTAAAAATATTACGAATTAATCCTATAGGAGAAAAATCTAAACTTAATATTAGATTACATACTAATAATTCAATAAAAGAGCTATTGGTATATGAAAAGGTACATAATAGTATAGAGAAAAAATGTGATATCATGTACTTATATGTGGATTTTGCAAAAAAATATAATATTTTTACTAGTCTTAGACATGTTGTTTTCTATAGAGTTTTTGTTGATATAGATTTAAATATTCTTAGACAAATTTCATTTTTTTTAAGAAATATATATTTTTTTAGTTGTGTTATAAAAAGAGAAACATTTTTAAAGTATGAAAGAGATTTAAACAGTAGCAATAAAAATTGTGTTATTTACGAATGTATATTTTGAAACAAAAATTCAACGATACTTTCAACAAGTAATATATTTAGAACAATACCTAGTTAAAATCTTCCTTTCTATGTATATGGATGGAATGAGATATTAGATAATTCTATTATAGATAGATATAGTAAAATATCTGATAACTTGACTGTGAATATAATACAATGAAAAGGACAACAACCTAATCAACAATTTTTATGTAATAGAGGTGGTAAACTAAATAATCATAGATAGATTAACGATATAAAAATATTTTATTAATAATATTAGCTAATTTTAGATATTGAATGTAGTATTAAAATTGACTAGTTTATTTATTTTAATACTATATAAGTTGTGTTCATAATATTTATTTAAAAAAAATAGTAAACATTGAAATTAAACAATTTTATAACTTTTTATTCGCAATTATTAAAGATAGTGATAGTAATAATTTTACATCCAATATTTCTAGTCTTAAGGAATGTGCTAATAAAAATGAAAATATTTTAGCTATAATTTATATTACTGAATATAAAGTTATTAATTATGAAAGGATACAAGACCAATGTATTTTGATTTTTATATCATAAATGATTTAGTTAATATTCAGAATATTATGAAGAAATATATTTTGAGTGAAAGTGAAAGAGATTTTAATTTTTACTTAAAAGAAAATAGGTTTGAAGTTTGGAATTATAAAGATGATTTTGTAGTATATCATAAATTATCAAAGAATATTCATAAGTATATTGAAAAATTTAATAGACATATTGAAAATTATAATTCTCTTGAACATGTAAAGAAGAAATATAGTGGTAATATAGAAATATCCTTTAAAACTTTCAAATAATATTTATTTTATTATATTTTAATTTTAAGTATGATTTTTGTATCTTTTGTATGAAAAATAAATTGAGTAAATAAACTTACAACATAATTTTGTTTAAAGGATTCAAAATTTCTATATTCATATCTGTTATAATCATATTTTATAGTATCGTTAATTGCTATATTACTTATTTTAACATATTTTATTGTTATACAATTTTTCATATTAATAATATTTGAGATAGTTAAATACTCATTAATGAATATTATTTCATCTATATTTAATTTATTAATTGAATATAAATTAATATTAGTGCAATTTTGAAAAGTCAATAATTTAAGATTAACAAATTTGTTAATACATTTTACTTCATATCGAATATTATATAGCTTTAAGTATTCGATTCTCGAAAATGGAAAGATATCTACATAGTTTATTCATAGCATGAAATGATAGATAGCTATATATTTAGACCATGTATTTTCATCTAATAAACAAAGATTATTAATATTTATAAGATTAATACATATAATACGATTGAAATTTATAATCATATTTGTGCGAATATTATTTTTGATTAGGTAAAAAATTTTATATAGTAAAAAATAAAATGCTTGATGTGTATATAATTCAATGAATGAGTTTTACATAATATATATTCTATAGTTTTATAACTATTATAAGGAAATATTTTTTGAATATATTCATAATCTATATATTTTATAAAGGATATATAATCGAATATAGGTGATTTGTATGAATATAAAATATTTTTAGATGTAATGTATTCATTTGAATAGTTATTGTGAAATATCATTGTTAATGAATTTACAAGATTTTTATTAGTATAATGTATAAACGGGTCTTGCTAAATATGTTTTATAGTAAGCTTAGTTCATAATCGTGAAAGAAAACGAAATTTGAATAGAAATCTAAACTCTAAATAACTAATAGTAATATCGTTTATCTCTAATAGCAATTCTATTTTATTTTTCTAGAGTTACATTACTTTGTAATTTTATATAAAAGATAAATATTACTTATAATTTATCAAGAGTTAGATTCTGATGTTTGAAACTAATAGTTAATAAATTATATATTTAACTAAAATTCTTATGATAAAATATATAAAATCAGTTTCAAAAAAAAAAATACAACAAAAATGTATATTAGTTATATGAATTTTGATAATTTTTCATTTGTTATTAGTATTGATAAAGAAAAATACGAATTATATTCATTAAATAATATTATATATCTTAAAGAATATTCCAAACCTAATAGTGAAATAATTTTAATAACAGCAATAAAACATTTTGAAGAATATAGTAAAAACAATAACTATTAGCTGTAATTTATGTTACTAAAGAAGAAAGTCTTATGAATCACTATAAGAGAATAAATGGAAAAGATTGTATAATAGATTTTCATATCATGAATAATTGGAATAACATTGGAAATATAATGACAAAGTCTATTAAAGATGAATTAAAAAGAGATTTTAATTTCTTTTAACAAGAAGAAAAAATAATATGTCAATTATCTAAAACAGGAAATCCTTTTATTGACAATATGGGTAAATCTAGATATTTGGTTTATATTGAAAAATTTCGATTATTTAATAATATTAAAGAAAAATATAGTAAAAATTATACTGTAAACCAAATTGTAATGTACATGATATAGCATACAAGTATTTTAGTAATTATGAAAGGGTAGTAATAAATCATTATTTTATATTGTTTTTGATCTAGCAAGTTTAGAGTGCTTTTTAATTTTAGTGTATTACAATTATATTTCAAGGTTCTTTTGGTTAAAAATATTTTCTTTAAATTTTGTGTATTTTTATTAATTTTAACATTATTATCTGTTTCTTCAGAATTTGTATCATCAGTTTCAATAGAATCGATATCTGTATCAACAGTATTTTTATCATTCTTTTGTAGAGATTTTATTAATTTTTTAGTGTCTTTATGGTTATGTTTTGCAATGATTTTAAATAATGCCAATTTATAAATCATATTTCGTGATACATCACAATTATAATATATCGAATTACCTATATCATATAAAGTATTTAATAATATATTACTTAGATTAATATTTGGTGAAGCTTTATCTGTGTAATAATTATGTATTATTTTTATGTTTAATTCAGTATTTCCTTTTCTCAATGTTATGTTATATGCTTTTATGATTAGTAATAATTCATTTAGTTTGGTGGAGATATCTTCTAATTTTATTTGGTCAAGTGGGTCTTTATAGAATTTTATGATAATTTCTTCTAATCTATTAAATATTATTTTATCATTTTCATCATTATAGTTTTTTGGTAGTAGTTTTTCTTTAAATTTATTATCAATTATTTCTCATATGATATCTTGTATTAGTAAGTACCAGTATAGTATTTTTCATTAAGTAATTCTATAAGCAATATTCTAAAGCTGAATATCTGATCTTCATTATTGTATTTATGTTCAGAGCTTGTATGAATACTCTTTAACAATTCTGGAGATAAAAATCTTAATTTATCAGATTTTATTTCACCTAGTAATCTTATATGATTGATGTAATAAAAATTACTTAGTTTTGTAGTTAATTTTTCAGTGATAAATACATTTTCACATCTCAAGTCTTCCATAAATATTTTATTTTTTTTTAAATAGATCAACTCATCTATAATATTTAATGCGAATTTATATTTTAATTCTATAGTAACAGTATTATTTGTATATATTTCTTTCAAATTATCATAATGTGTTTGTTCGAATAGAGAAAATGTTTTTGTTTGGCTTATGTAAATACCCTGAAATATTAATATATTTTTATTATTAAGTTTATATAATTTACACAATACTAAATCGTTATTATGTCTTTTACTGATTTCGATATAATGATAATATTCTGTTGGTGTATCAATGATTAGTATTTTTGTTTTAACTATATTAACAGTATTCTTAAATCTTCCTATTATATTTAGTATGAAATTTATTTAATGAATTCATGATTTTATTAACAGATATTCATCTAATAGTAGTTCATGTTAGTTGAATCTTGATACAATAAAGTTTGGTTAAGTATTGTTGGTAACAAGAAATATTGACTTAATATTATATTTACAATTATGATTAGTCATATTGTTATTATACAATATAATGCTGTATATTGATTGTTAATTGGTTAGTACAAAGATAATTATGAACATACCGCAATATGTCAAGAATTTTCTCAAGAATATTGAGTCTGAAGAGATTTATAATATAACTATAAACTAATTCATAAAATATAAAAGTAGAAAAATAATATTACAATGTAATCCTAGCATAAACCTTTCGCGAAATTGCAATTCATTTATATTATACTGTAATCACAATTATCAAAGATTAAAAGATGAGAATCTGGAATTACCAAACACAAAAATATCTAAATTACTTAGTAAATGATGGCATACTAAACCAGAAAAGGTAAAAGATCACTGGCGAAAGATAGCAAAAATTAAAAAGGTCAAATATTGCAAATGATATTCTAATTATTGATATCAACCAAGAAAAAAACATAATAAAGTCACGAAATCCATTATTACTGAATCATCACAGACATTACTTAAAACATATGTATATATATATCTAATCAAAAGTTCAAGAAAAATCAGATTTAAAAAAACCAATAGTGCAAGATTATAAACTAGTTCCAGAAGAGGAACCTATGCTAGATTTTGTCTTAGATTTATTTTATAACTTATACAACTTTAATAAAAGTTCATTTAATATATTTTAAAAGTACATATTAATTATTGAATAATAATAAAATATCATAATTATTTTTAATTAATAAGATTTTCAATTCTACGATAAACAGATATATTTTTTTTAGGCTTTGACCTATGAATAATAGTTGTTAGTTTTTAAATAAATATTTGAATGTTAATATGATAATTTATTACCTCTTTTTTTAATTTTTTTATCATATTTACAGTCTATATTAAATTTAATATATCTTATACATGGTGTTCTACCACTACATTTGGCTTTTTTTAATTCACATTCATCACACGCTCTATTTACATATTTATTTCTCTTAGATTTGTAAAATTCATTATTTTTAGAAATATTAAGTTTATTATTATTAGAATTATTATTAAGTTTAATAATTTCATATGGTTGATAATAGTTGTTACTAGGTATGAGATGATAATTTTGAACAGTAGATTTTACTTCAAAATTTTATATTAATTGAAATTATAATTTTTCATAATGATTTTTTTTTAATTTTTCAGTAATTAAATTTTATCAATTTATATATATGATATCTAGATAATTACAATTAATTAAAATATAAATATTATTCTGCTAAATCCTGTGTCTTTTTCTCATAGAAGTTCCTTCACCATAATCATTATTATTCTTGGAGTCCCTGCTCTTAGTTGATCTATTTATTTCTATATTATTATTTTTAGAATTATAATAAACGTTATCAAGTTCGTTGGTACAATATTCATATTCGAAATCATTATAACCTAAAGTATTATAATGAAGTCGCCCAGATTTATTATACCATGTTATAGTTATAGTTTCGTTATTATTTAATAGATTATCATTAGTATTACGTCTAAAGTCAAATTTTCCACTATCTATAATAAGACAATTTCGATGTATATTTTTAATTAATAATTTATCTCTATCAGTATCACAGCATTTAGTAGAATCGTGGTCTCCGTTAGTAAGAATAATTGTAGGTATAAATTTTCATATCATTATATAAGAGTTGTAGCTTCTTTTTATATTATAATAATATTAACAAAATATAGTATTTTTATACTCAGTATTAAGATAACTAGAATTAGTATTATACTTATCTTTTTTATGATTTTCTACTATAAAAATTATTAATATTTCTGTTGTAAATAAATAAAATCAATGAATTATATAAAATACTCACTGAATATGTCATGATAATAAAGGAATTAATAATATATTTTAGTTAAAAAAATTAATTATAAAATAATGTTATCTGCACATCATCAAGTATAAAATATTCGCATTCCAAATTTACAAGATTAGGATCTAAAGCTCTCAATATATGTTACACTTTTTTAAAATAATTACTTAATGATAATGCCATATAGGTTTTTCCACAATGACTTTCTCCTATTATCCACAATGATTTGTATTGACTAGACTTATTAGGAAGTTCTGTAAATATATTATTTTTTATCTATTCATTTATTATTGGAGGTACAAAAAAATCTGATAATCTATTATCAGATTTATGATTCATATTATTTTCTATTTCTATTTTTTGCTGTATTCTCTCCTACAGAAAAACTGATTATTTGTAATAAAAATTACATCACAGTTATAAAATGAAAGTTAGTAAACTAATCATTCAAGTGGAGTAGGTCTCAGCATCAGATTTCTCTGACTCTTTGATCTAGTGAACCTTTCTTGATGTCATCTTGGTTCTTGATGATAAGAGAAAAGCATAACTAGATAATGTCTGAGAATCAGACAATTTGATTTATTTATAAAATATTTTCAAACACTTACTATTATGAAAATGTATATAGTCTGAAACAATAAAGAATAATCAGTTTTAGTCATTAGTATATGAGTCAATCACACTTAATAGATGTAAAACTTACTGTTCAAAGATTTTCATAAGGTAATAAGCTGATTAAACATATCTTATTAGTATATTTAATAGTAACTTTTTCATCACATGATAATAATTTACTTACCTGCTGTATTTTTTCAAGAGTGGACCAATTTCTGATTTGTCCAGAGTTTTGATAAATTAATTCTACCAAATCTGCATCCTTTTTTATCTCATCTAGAGTATTACAAATATCATTATTAGCATCATCTTTGGTTTTATTTTCCTTGTTATTCTCATAATTATTTTGTCATTGTTTTTTATTTTTAATTTGATAGTCATCAACGTTATTATTGTCATTATTTTCATTATTATTATCAACATTATCTCTTTTTCTTTTGTTATTACTATAGAGATTATAAAAATTTTTAAGATTTTTATTTATTACACTAAAGTCACACCTTCTGCGAACCTCTAGATTTATTTTAGATCTTTTATCAAGATAACATTCTGGATCATTCTTACATAGATTACATAGTTTGTCTTCATTAACGTAACTATATCTACAATATTTATATTTTTTACATCTAGCTCATTCTTTAAGAACATATTCTCTACACCACTCAGCTTGAGATTTAGTTGTTGAATTATCATGTATTATTTGTTCATAATGAATATAAGAACCAAATATAGTTTTTAAAATTCTTTGATTAATACTCGAACTAAATTGAGCAAATACTTAGTAATAAAATTTATTATTTTTAATTTCACGTTCTTCCTGCCTCGCAAAGTATGTTAAACCATATTAATCTCTCATTACTTCAAAAACATTTTCATCACACACAATATTCCACAAACATTTTAAACCATTACTTTTATAACTAAAACAAGGATTATCATCACACATGTCACTGAAATATGTATAGCATTTTTTACAGGTGTTAACCTGACATCTTTTAGGATCTACTAGACATACACAAGTCTTTGTATCTAACAGATAATCCAAACAATCTTTACATTGAATTCTAATAAAACATTGCTTACACAAGTTTATTGTCAAGATAACTTGTCTACATTTTTGATTGTAATCTTCAAATTTTTTCTCTTTTGATTTGACATATTGCATGAAATTTATTTATATAAATAACCGGTTCTTTTTATTAATTATCAATGTGCCTATCAATATAGGTACTAAACAAAAGATAAAATATAAGAAATTGAGCTTGAATTATTAATCATACATATTGTATTAATACAATATCATAATCATTAGATTTGTTGATCAACATATTATGATAAATTGAAGAACATATTTTATACTACTTTACTTACTGACATAGGAATATTCTTGAGGCTAAAAATTAATTTATACATATTGGTCTAATACTAGATTGTCAAAGACATTTGATGAAGAAATATTTTACACATATAAAATAACAGTTTAAATAGCATTTTGAAGCAATGTCATGCTGTAAAATAAAAAAAAACTCTAATTGTAAAAATACATAATAACTATAATTCATGATGATGAAATCAATATTAAGCAAAATATTTCTTGGTTATTTCAATAAAAAAACAAAGTACATGTAGATCACAGATATAAAACTATAATAACATTTAAAATTGAGCGTAATTATATTATTGTTTTTGATCAATGGCAATTCATAAATTATAATATTGAAAGTGAGTTATATATATAACAAGGTAGTAAATTGCTATATGTATCAGTTAATATTGCAAGTATTGATATATGATATAATAGAGGCAAATTGTATTTTTCTCAGACAGATAACGTTTTATTTCTCAAATCTCAAGAAAAGAAAAAAGGATCTTTTATTGAATATGAAATTATGTGCCTATTTAAAGATAAATTTTATTATGAAAGTAGAAAATATGAATCTAGTAGTTGTTTAGATAATTTTAAAGTTCATTATATTACTAGTTAAGTGTTTTTTTATTATTCAGAATACCAATTTATAGGTATTTTTTTATTATTGCAAAGAAAAATATTAATTTTTAAAAAGGGTGAATGGTATTTATCAAATAGACGATATAGAAGGTTGAATATGATAAGGTTGTTCGTACTCTTTTTTTTTTAATTTTTATAAATATTATTAGTTAATCTTAATGGTCTTTGATGACAATGGTAAATAGTAGAAAAAAACTTATTTTTAATAGTTTTTTCTTGTCCATCATTTTCTTTCCCCATAATACAAATACTGTTTTACTTCGATCACGAAAGTACTGAATCAGACGCAAATTACTAACTCTTCCCGTAGATCACTTGTACTAAAACTTCTCAAAAACATTTTGTCATAACTAAAAATTTTATTAAGTAAACAACCTTTAGGCCAATAAGCAAAATTGTTCTACACAATATTCTGCTTCAGAGTGGCCTAGTTTCATATCTCTCAGACCTAAACTCACTGAGATATTTTATTTAAACTATTAAACTGTTTTTCTGAATTTTTCTCAATTTCTTACTAAGTCAACTACTCTTGCTCATTAAAAGAGTTGTGCTCAGCTCACTCTGAGCTTCATTTTGATATAAATTTTACTCAAAACGGACCAAAACTTAGTATTTTACCTACAAAAAACCGCTCTAAGGCTTTTTCTTAAAATTTACTTTATTTTTACTTTTTCTTCTTTACCCCCTCCAAATTCGAAACTGGGTCACGTGACAGCCCAGAAAAAATCATTGGTTCACTCAAAAATTACCAATTCCCCTTTTAGCTCATTTTAATTTAACACAAATTAATTAATTACTTATTTGTTTTCTTTCTAATTTGTACTACATATAGTACTAAATCTAATCTATTTTTATCTTAGTGTTACATATTTGTACCTTGTACTACACTTGCCACACTAGCCACACTAGCCATTAAGCTACACTAGCCACACTAGTCATACTTTGTATCATATCACGTTATACATATTATATGAAACAAATAATACCACTTCGCGTATCTCTTTTTGACCTCATCTTCTTAAGTTCTAAACATGCCTACTCTAATTAGTCAGGAACCTGACTTATATGATATCGATTATTACTACTCTAAGTACAGGGACCATTTTGGAGTAGTAATGAATGAAAACAAAACATCTTCTCTTCATGTTCTTGCACACAATATCAGACCAACTCACTGTAAAGAGAATAACAAAAAACTTCACTACTTTCTTGTTCCCCTCTAACCTATTACTACTACATGCTTCGACAGTCAATATCATACAAGTTTTACCTCTCGCCACTATACCTTAACTCATACTACTCTTGGAAATCCTGAAACAATAGATATCTCTCCAAATACAATCTCTTCAAAAGCTTACAGAAAAATCACTGAAGAGCTTATTTCTTCTTCTATTACCTGACCTACTCCTACCATTCTCTTCCCAGAATTCAAAACTGATACAACTCTTGCAACTATTCAAGCACACTCCTAACACCTACATACCTGTATTATTTGCAGAATTAAAAATTTACTATGTGTCTACACTACTGACAATAAATATACATCTGACTATACAACTTCTGTACTCTTCAAAACTTGACTCATTCACCGTACTTGTATTCCAAAAATTACTGATATTCCAATCAAACCTCTTATCCAAACCAAACCACTTACTGATGAACAAAAAAAATGTTGCAATTATTCTTGCTCTCAAGCACATGACATCAGCAGAAAAACTTCATCGCTACAAATCTTTAAAAATTTACAAAAAACCAAATCTCCAAAACCAAAATAATAGTAACCAAAACTATAATAATAATGATAACAACAACAATAACAGCAATGATAACAGCAACAACAACAATAACAACAACAACAACAATAACAATAACAACTCCAACAATAACAACAATAACAAACTAAACAAACGTGATACCTCTAATGACCTCGACTGGTTTAAAACTTTCCCAGTTACTAAGGAAATGAAGAATAATACCAAATTTAATACACCTCTAGCTCAACAAATTTTTAACTTCATTAAACCCTATCTTATCGATTTTGCTCCTGGCAAAATTATTCAATTCACCTCTTCAAACAAAACCCTTCTAAATATTCTTTCAAATACCTGCTCAAAACTCTCGCAGGCCAACATTCTGAATTCTTAACTTCATATTCAAAACCAATCCTACTATTAATACAAATATACCAATTCCTTTTAAAATTCTTCATAATACCTTTAAACTTTTCTTAGCTAAATTTACCTCTGTACTTTTTACTAAACTCAACTATATAAAAATCTTTCAATCTCATTACAACATACCCCCTTACACACTATCAAACTGATTACAAATATCTCTAAACCTCATTCATCTTTATCTCTTTCTTAATTCAACCTACCAAACTATCCATGCTGAAAAGTTTGCTAAGGACTTAAACATCATGTCTATTCGTCTTATACTTAATTACTTCATTAGCTATAATGCAATTAATACAAACTCTCTTCAAATCAAAAATGATAACAAATTTAATGTCAACATTTTTCTTAACATTCATACTAAACTATTCCTTAACACATTTCAAATCCCATCACTAAAGCCTTTAAAAGAAGACTTCAATACATAGTTTGAAAAATTCTTTGATATTTACAAGCGCTAATCAGAAAATATCATCTAATCCAAAGTTTACAACTTCTTAAAACACCAAATTGCAATTAAATATACTGAAGAACACAAAAAACTCTTACCTAAAACATTTGATATCACTTCTATTAATTCCCTTTGAGAGCATACCTCGCTTTGCAGAAAGGCTGCTCTTTTTCATATGCATACCTGCAATGCAAATAAAGATAACAAATATTCTTTTATCCCTACAGATACTGAACATAATTTTCGAAATATCTCCTTACTCTTCTTTACCGAATCCTTCAAAAAATTTTCTGCTCCATACAACAAATCTACAAATCAAAACAAAAATCCTTAGATACTCCCAAAACATGACTTTACTATTTTTCAAAAAAACAATCAACATTCTGCCTCTTTCAAAATTCCTATTCCAATAAGCTTGTTTCGTCAGCTTGCTAAAACAGCTGAGAAGGAATTTATAAAAAACAATAATACTGAAACTAATACTAAACATTAAACATATTATTTCTACCAATACTTCAAAGCTTTTCTTCACCATGCTGCCCAAAACGATGAAATTCTCAACTTCTCCTTAACTCAAGCTACTCAGAAAATATTATCCCAAACTACTGATACACATTACCTAGCTCGAGTCCTTACCTACTTTGATATTCTACAATATGAAGGCAATATTTCAATTGCTTCGATTCAAAAGAAATACAAAGAAATTTTCTACTCCCATTCTACTCAACTTATTATTAAAAAACTCAACTTCACTCTACCTAAAGAGATTGATGAATTTGATCTCTTTAACTCTTC